TATTTTCATTTTTGCAGGTCTCCTATGGTTTTACTGTAACTACTCGACTATACTGTTGTAGCACGAAAGCATAGACAATATGTAAAAAGGGTGTAGCTGTGTGCCAATAAATCTTCATTCACAGAAACAGGTAGCAAGGTATGTGTGGCCCACAGGCAGTAAAAGCACAAAAACAGAGTATAACTTTCAATTAGTAGAAAGGGAAAAATGAGTAATTAATTAGTTATCTAAATAAAAAGCAGGAAAGGAGAGAAAAAAATATAAAACAGGACAACATAGAAAGTACAAAGAGCCCTGGCTGGTATGTCTCAGTAGGTTGAGCGCTGGCCTGTGAACTGAAGGGCCACCAGTCTGATTCCTGGTTGGGACACATGCCGGGGTTACAGGCCAGGTCCCCAGATGGGGGCATTCGAGAGGTAACCGATTGCTGTTTCTTTCATATCAATCAATATTTCTCTTCCTCTTTTTTTCCCTCCCTTACCCCTCTCTCTAAAAACAAATAATTAAAATCTAAAAAAAAAAAAACCTGTCACCCTGGTTGGCGTGGCTCAGTGGATTGAGTGCCAGCCTGCAAACCAAAGGGTCGCTGGTTCAATTCCCAGTCAGGGCACAAGCCTGGGTTGTGGGCCAGGTCCCCCATTGAGGGCACGTGAGAGGCAACCACACATTGATATTTTTCTTCCTCTCTGTTTCTCTCTCTTACCCTCTCTCTAAAAATAAGTAAATAAAATCTTTAAAAAAAGGTAAAATGTCAGCTTCAACTATATTTTAAAAAGGAGAAAGTACAAAGAAAATGGGTAGATTTTGATCCAAATACTTTAGCAATTAAATTCAATATAAATGGATATATATTCCAGTTAAAATCTATTTGTTTTAGATGTCTCTTGCAAATAGGATATATTTAGATTTGGTTTATTTTGTAGCCAATATTAAAACAAACGGATATAGAAAGGCTGAAAATAAAAAAATGGGAAAAGATACGCTATGCAAATACCAACTGAAAGAAAATTGCTATAGTAATATTAATATCAGACAAAATAAGTAAAAAAGCATTACTAGGTTAAAGAGGATCTTCATAATGATAAAAAATTTAATTCACTAGGAGTAAGTCATGATGTTAAATAACAATTAAAATATATAAAGCAAAAATCTGCCGTACTCAAAGGAGAAATAAACAAATCCACAACCATAATGGGAAATTTACACATTTGTCTTAATAATTGTTTGGGATAAAACAGAAAAAAAACTTTGGAATAATATAGATTTGCACATCAAGATAGAAGAATTGACCAAATGGACCTAGGGAGACACTATTTCTGCCCCCCACCCTCACCCCAGCACACGCAGAGGCAGAAGAGGAAGCTCTGAAAAGATGCTATATTTAACACCTGAAGAATATACCTTATTTTTAAGCACACATAGAATATTTTCAATTTATCATAAACTGGGAATAAAGTCTTAAAACATTTCAAAGGATTAAAATTAAAGTATATATTATGACCACAATATGACCTTTGTTATATAACTAGAAACTCTCCATATCTCTAGAAATTTCAAAAATGAATTACTAAATAATCCTCAAACCAAGCAAGAAATCATGGAAATTAGAAAGCAGTTGGCACAAGAGGATAACAAGAATTCTACATATCATAACTTGTGGAATGAAGGCTAAAGTAGTACCAAGGAGGAAATTTACATCCTCAAGTGCCTATATCAGGAAAAAGAACCAGAAGTGAATGATATAGGCATTTATCTCCAGAGGTTAGGAAAAAACCCAGCAAAATAAATCCGAAGAAAATAGAAGTAGTTAAAGGTCAAGTATATTTCAGTAAAGCTGGGGAGAGGATACAGTGAGAAGAAAGTAGGAGTAAGCAAATAAGGACAAAAGCACAAAGTATTGATATAGAAAACACACAGGCCCTGGCTTGTGTGGCTCAGTGGCTTGAGGGCCGGCCTGCGAACCAAAGGGTTGCTGGTTGATTCCCAGTCAGGGCACATGCCTGGGTTGTGGTCCAGGTCCCCAGTAGGGGGCGCACGAGAAGCAACCACACAGGATGTTTCTCTCCCTCTCTCTAAAAATAAATAAATAAAACCACACACACACACACACACACACACACACACACACACGCAAAGAATGAAGCTTTAAAAAAAAGAAAACAAACACAGAAAGTTGGCTCTTTGAAAGGATTAATTAAAATTGACAAGTCTCTAGCAAAATAGATCCAGGGAAAGGGAAAAAAAAAAAAGACACAAAAAATCAATATCATGAAAACAAAGGAGACAGTACTGCATTTGGATAGCTTTTTGTCAATACATTTTAAAATATAGATTAAAGGGAAAAATGTTAGAAAATATAACTCTCCCAAACTGACTAAAAAAAAAAAAAATGTACAAACTCTCAACAGCATTGTAACCTCCAAGTAAATTGAAATCTGTAGTCAAAAACCATCACTCAAAGAAAACTTCAGACTTGTATGGCTTTGCTGACAAGTTGTACTAAACGTTGAAGGATCAAATTGTTCCCATTTTATACAAAGCCTTTCAGAGCACAAAAAAAGAAAACATTCTTCAACTCACAAGTCTAGCATAATCTTGACACCAAAAAAACTGAAGGACAGAACAAGAGAGGACAATTACAAGCTGGTCTCACTCATGAAAATATGTAACAAAAATCCTAAACAAACTATTAGCAACTAGAATGTAGCAATATATTTAAAGACAAATGCCCAATTAACTTATGCGAATGTGTCCACAGGTTAGTAATTATTAGTAATCAGAAACATTTAGGTTAAAATCACAAAGAAATACCATCACCGTATGTATATACCAGATTGGCTAAAATTAAACAGCCTGACAATACTGCATTTTGGCACAAGAATGGAGCCAGGACTGCCTGCCATTCACCACTGGTGGAAGTATCAAGATAACCACTTGGGAAAAAGGAGTTTGGCACTGCTTACTAACCTTTAAGTTATGTATACTCTAGGTAGATACCATAGTGCAGGGATCTTCAAAGTGTGGTTCCTGGACCAACAGCATCAGCATCATCTGGAAACTTATTTGAAATGCCAAATTCCTGGGTCCACTTGAAAGATACTCAATCAGCAACTCTAGGGTCCAGCAACCTGTGTTTTAACAAGTCCCCCAGGTGATTCTGATGCACAAGAAATAGTGCCACGGAGAAACAGGAATATAAGTCCACCAAAGTACATGAACAAGAATATTTTTAACAGCATTGTTTATAATAGCCAGATACAGAAAACAAGCCAAATGTTCATCAATATAATGGACAAGTAAGTTATGGCAATGTTATATAATGCAATGAAATAATGCTATACAAGATAGCATAAATGACTCTCAAACACAATGGTGAGAAAATATTTAAGACACAAAGAATACATTTTTCTATACGTATAGAAAAATGTTCTTGTCAAACTGTACCTATATATTTTAAGAACAAAAACTGTACCTTCAGCCCTAATCTCTTCTTAGAACTCTGGACTGGCATATAACTAGTACCTGCCACATGATGTGTGTTCAGTATGACAGGTCTCATTCTTTATAATTATAATCTTTATAGTGAATGCAGGGTATTTCATAATATGGATACACCATATATTTAACCACTTCCTTGTCAGTGGGCTTTTCAAGAATATTTCTTTGGCTGCCCCAATAGTCTGAAAACTCTGAGAGGTGAGAGACTGTGTCTGCTTTCATCTAAGACAGTGCCTCCCTATTCAGTAGGTATGTAATTGAACTGATTTTCCAGATTAAATTTCCTATAAGAAAAAAAATGCCCTGGCCAGTTTTATTTATCTTTGTTAGCACATAAATTGATTCCCTTGCAAATTTTTTAAATCCTCACCAGATATGTTTATTGATTTTAGAGAGAGAGGAAGGGAGAGAGGGAGGTATACAGTGTCCAGCAGAAGTAATGCTTTCTTGAGTGTGGTTGGTAGGTTAATAATATGGGTATAATAATTTATAATTTTAATTTGAACATTTCACGGAAAATGTCATATGGTGTGCTTGAGGGTGATAGTGTTATGTTACAGAATCACATGCTTATTATTTTGTAATAAAAGATTTTTTTATAAAAAGGGGCATTATTTGTGCCAGACCGTGTGTGTGTGTGTGTGTGTGTGTGTGTGTGTGTGTATGTGTGTGTACAGAGAGACAGACAGAGACAAAGAGACAGAGACAGAGAAGCAGACAGACATTGACCAGTTGCCTCCCACATACACCTTGACCGGGGACCAAATCTACAACCTAGGTACTTGCCCTGACTTGGAATTGAGCCTGTATCCTTTTGGTGTAGGGGATGCTCCAACCGAGTCACCTGGCCAGGAAAATACCTTGCAAATTTTGTTTACAGTGAGTTAACCCTAGAGAACCTATTCGGCTGGGTGTAATGACAAAGTAAGCATTCTAGACTTGGAAAATTAGACCATGCGTTCTGGAGTAAGATCATTTAATTTCCCTGTGTGACACATCGCCTTTGTCTCAACACAACAGCAACTAGGAAACGCGTCACGCCTTAGAGTTAGGAAAGCACATCTATCACATTTTCCGAGAGTACCTACTTAAAGTATCCCAGCTTTCTTAAATGTATTTGACCCATTGTAATTTGTGACTTGGAACATATGACACCATACCTGGACTTCTAGGGAATAACTGGCTCCGGAGAAGATGCTTATAGGTCAGGACAGGCCATTTGGAAGTCCTGCTCCTGTGAAACCTTACCTCCATACTCGCTGCTTTATGCCAAGTGTTCAGCCTGCTCCTAGAAGAGTCGTCAAAGCGTTGCCTGTCAGAGCAAAGGCCATGGGTGGCCTTTGGAAGGAACAGCAGAGCCGCAGGGCTCAGAGAAGAGCCTCAGCACCATGCACAGTGGCTGGACCCTGTCAGGTTTACCTTGGAACGCTCATTGTGATGTCACACGGAGTCACAGCCTTGAGAGAAAAAACAGTTTGACTGAGAGGGGATGGGGTTGAGTGATGGCGCTGACATGGGGGCCAGCCCTCCCACTGCCAACACATGTCAGTCTTCTACTATTATTTGGTCTCCTTGTTTGGGGGCTTTGGGGGCTGTTTTCTGGGAAGCAGAGCAGGGAGCAGGTGGTGGCAGAGACAGACTCAGAGGTATGTGATGCAACGCTCGCTTGAAACTCACTGTTCCCTGCCCCTGCCCCTGAAGCCATAGAAACTCCTACATCTTGGGCCATGGGGGAAATTAGATGGGGGAAAGAGGGGAGTGGGGATAGCGCTTTTGGATGTCTTCCTATGTATAAGTCATTCTCAATCCTTTTCTCTTTAATTCATTTGGACAGTGTACTAGACATTGAAGAAAAATAAAACACCATTCCGACCTTCTGGGAGCTTGAGATGAAGAGGGGGAAACAGGCAGACAGATATATATTGAATACATAACTCAGGAAAAGAGAAAGTGATAAGATTTCATAGATAAATATTGCTAAAGAGATGGGAGGCAACGAGTATTTTGATCTATAAAACGCCTTCTGGGAGAGCTCAGTTTGAATTGTGTTTCAGAAAGGGTAGGATTTTGAAGGTGGGTAGAGTAGGTGGAGGCGAGTAGTGGAAGATTCTCCAGACAGAAGGAATATATTGGGGAAAAGTGGGGAAAGCAGAAGAGTGTTGGATGTATTTGAGGAGAGCTGAAGATGCCCACCTGAATACAATGTAGAAGTGCAGGGAACTCAGCGAGAGAAAAGGTTGGAAAATTAACAGAGGTCACATTGCAGAGGTCTGGGAATACAGGCTGACTATTTTGTAGTATAAATGTTATTCTGCATACAACTAAAAGCCATCAGTAAATTTAAAACCAGGTAAAAATGTGTTTAGATCTGTGTCTTAAAGCAGTGCTTCTCAAAATTTAATACAAATCACCTGGGGGTCTTTTTTAAAGGAGAATTCTGATTTAGGTGTGGCTAGGCACTGAAATTCTGCATTTCTAACAAGCTCTCAGGTGATGCTCCTATTGTTGAGTGAACCTTGAGAATAACTCCAGTAAGTGTATATGATAGTTCTCTGGCATAGATAAGCCGATGGGAGGCTACATTAAAGACTTAGTGTAAAGGAGGGCAAAGAAAATGAAAGAATCAGAGCAGTAAGGTGGAAAAGAGGACATGAATTTATTCTCCAAATGTTTATCGCCCATCACCACCACAGTGTGCAAGGCATTCCTCTAGGCAGTATGGATACAGTAGCAAAGCAGAGACAAAACACTCAGCCCCTTAGAGGTGTGAAAGAGGTGGGTATACTGAGGTGAAAGTTTGGATGTGGGGAGAGAGGCAGAAAAAGAGGGAAGGAGCTGAGTCTTTTCCTGACTGAGCCTCAAATACAAAGAGTTAATTATAAACATTATCATCAGTTTCCCACGAGGACTAGATTCATCTTTGTATCCCCCGTGCCTGGCACACTGCCTGGAGTAAGGAGTAAGTCTCCATAAAGGTCTGCGTAATGAATGACGACTTCTCAATGTTAATCCTGAATGAGTGACAAGATGATGGCCTTTCAAACAATAGAAAACATTATATAGAAGTGGTGAGTCCAGCCCCACTACTTGGCCTGGGTACACCTACCAGCCCCACCATTGTAATGATAGAATGGCATACATTGCTTCTGTAAAGTGACATCCTTCAGCTATTTGGTGCCTTTTTGGATAGGCATATGCTGATGGCCTGGGCAGTTTCACGAGTGTTTTTAAAGTGAACACAAAGATTTGAACCTCTTGATTTGCATGACTTTGTGGTGTTGTCTGGGTCAAGTGAATAGTGAGACATTTTTAGAAGTCACCTGGAGACACTGGACCTCTAGCAGCACCCACAGGCTGCCTGTACCCCTGTGCAACCATTCCTGCCCATTATGCACCTCTTTGGGCTGCAAAGTCTGCATGGTCCCATGGCACTAAGTCAGGTGCTCTGATCTGTCATCTAATTTTTTAAATACATAAATCATATGCATTTTAAAATACACGTCTTTTAACAATATCTGTATTGACTGTGAGTTCATTTATATTACCAAATTGTCTTCTAGTATACATGGCAGTTTTTTTTCTTGAATACCAGGCATGTTATATGTAAAGTTACTTCTCTCCAGACATTAGAGATATTTTTGCTTCCAGAAGTTATTTAGAGTGGAGAAACTCATCTTAGTCCCATCTGGGATTGAACTCATCAAAGACTAAGCTTCAACTTTAAAAAATTTTTAAACCTTTTGTCAATTATAATTGACATTCAATATTTTAAAAATATATTTTATTGACTATACTATTACAGTTGTCCCAATTTTCCCCCCTTACCCCCCGCCCCCCATACCCCCATTCCCTCCAGCAACACTCCTCCCCGTAGGTCATGTTCATGAGCCATGCATGTAAGTTCTTTGGCTTCTCCATTTCCTATACTATTCTTAATATCCCGTGTCTATTTTGTACCTCCCAATCTATTCTTAATCCCTGCACCTTTTCCCCCATTGCCTCCCTTCCCCCTCCTTGCTGATAACCCTCCAAGGGATCTCCAATAGCTATGTTTCTGTTCCTGTTCTGGTTGTTTGCTTAGTTTGTATTTTTAGATTCAGTTATTGATAGTTGCAAATTTATTGCCATTTTATTGTTCATAGTTTTGATCTTTTTTTTAAAAAATAAGTACCTTTACCATTTCATGTCATAATGGCTTGGTAATGATGAACTCCTTTAGCTTTACCTTGTCTGGGAAACGTTTTATCTGCCCTTCCATACTAAATGATAACTTTGCTGGATAGAGTAATGTAGGTTGTAGGTCCTTGCTTTTCATCACTTTGAATATTCCTTGCCAGTGCTTTCTAGCCTGCAAAGTTTCTTTTGAGAAATCAGCTGATAGTCTTATGGGTACTCCTTTCTAGATAACACTCTGCTTTTCTTTTGCTGCTTTTAAGATTCTCTCTTTATTTTTAACCTTTGGCATTTTAATTATGTTGTGTCTTGGTGTGGTCTTCTTTGGGTCCAACTTGTTTGGGACTCTCTGTGCTTCCTGGACCTGTATGTTTATTTCCTTCACCAAATTAGAGAAGTTTTCTTTCATTATTTTTTCAAGTAAGTTTTCAGTTTCTTGTTCTTCCTCTTCTTCTGGCATCCCTGTCATTCGGATGTTGGTACATTTGGAGATGTCCCAGAGTCTCCTTAGTATATCCTCATTTTTTGAAAATATTCTTTTTATTTCTTGTTGTTCTGATTGAATGCTTTTTTCCTGCCTTATGTTCCAAATCATTGATTTGATTCACGCTTCATCCCCTCCACTGTTGCTTCCCTTAGATTTTTCTTTATTTCACTTAATGTAATCTTCATTTCTGCCTGGGTCTTTATTCTGTTGTTGTACTCAGTGAGTTCTTTGAGCATCCTGATAACCTCTGTTTTGAACTCTGCATCTGATCGTTTTGTTATCTCAGTTTTGTTTCATTCTTTTCCTGGAGTTTTGTTCTTTTGTCTGGCCCATATTTCTTTGTCTCCTCAATTTGGCAGCCTCACTGTGTTTGTTTCTGGGTATCAGGAAGCGATGCTTTGACTCACTCTCTTAGAAGCATGGCCTATTGTAGAAAAACATACCTGTCTGGATGAATGTGGCATTTTTAAATCCTTTGTTGTTGGACTTCCATGCAGCTCGATTTTCTGATGGTTCTGGGTGATATTTATTTTTGTTGTTTTGTTGTAATTTTTTCTGTAGTTGTGTGAGGAGGTGAAGCATGTTTACCTACGCCTCCATCTTGACTGGAAGTGACATTCAATATTAGTGTCAGGTATACAACATAGTGATAACACATTTATATCTCTTATGAAGTGATACCCTGGATAAGTTTAGTACCGACCTGACACCATATGAGCTTCAGTATTTGAGCCTAGTTTATTTCAGGTTTATTTCTATTCCTAGGCATACCCTTTGGTGGGTGTCTCAACCGAAAGCCTGGGATATTTACTAGGGGCCCGCGTCCTTGGTTCCTAAAGTCATTTTTTCATCCATCTAGCCCCATAAAACTGCTAAACATTTTGCTTAGCTTTTCAGCCATAGCTTGAGCATTGACAAATGCTTTGAGGGGGGAAATCTGGGCTCACTTCTCTACACTTCCTTTTTCCTCTGGGATCTTGGCTCCTCTGGTCCTTGATGCCTTGATGGCCCTTCAATGTCTTCAAATAGATGTTATATTTTTTTTTTTGGTCCAGTTTTTTTAGTTGTTTTCACTTAGAGGATTCAAACAATTATTATAAACAGAAATCCTGGATTGAATTTTTCTCTTTCCAGTTTTCCCCTTCTACTAGCTTGACATTTATGCACCTCTTTCCCTATTCTTCCCGTGGTTACTCCAGGAATGTCAATATGCATACTTATCTAATTGTCTGTTCAGAAGTATTTTATTAATGCTGCAAACTCATCCAGTGAGGTTTTAATTTCAGTACTATATTCTTAATTTCTAGAAGTAATTGGTTCTCTTTCAAATCTGCTAGATAATTTTTTATGGTTTTCTGTTCCTTAAAAATATATTTCAGCCTGCCTTTTATTTCTTTAAATGTAATATGCATTGTTGTTTTCTAATCTAGATCTGATGATTCCAATACCTGGCATCTCTGTAGGTTTGTTTCTGAAGAAATAATCTATTTAATAATAAAATACAGTATTCATAGGTACTTTTTGAAGCCCAGGGTAAAGATCTTCCTCAGAGAGGTTTTTTTTTGTTTTGTTTTTTGACTGTGGCACCATCAGTCTAGGACTACTTTAAATTCATAGCTTGAGGGTTTTCTGTGAATTTAAGCTGCAAATTACACAAAAGTCAACCTGTGGTTACAACTTCCCAGAGACTTCTCTTTTAGTCCCCTGAACTTCTCAGTGTCATGAGGTTCCAGCTGAACATGGCAGGGTCTTCTACTGGATTGCTTTTTTCCTTACGATTTTTATTTTTGAAGTTTTCTTTTTTTAAAAAAAGATTTTATTTATTTTTAGAGAGAGGGGAAGGGAGGGAGAAAGAGAGAAACATCAAATCAATTGGTCGCCTCTCACATGCTCCTGACTGGAACCTGGCCTGCAACCCAGGCATGTGCCCTCACTGGGAATCGAACTGGCAGCCTTTCAGTTCGCAGGCCAGGGCTGTTTTCTTTAAAAAGTTCTTCTGTGCTCTAGATGACAAAGATTTTCTCTTATATTTTTACAATGCTTCAGTCTTACTTTTCACATTTTAATTTTTAATACACTTGGAACCCACATCTTTATATAGTATTAAGAAATGATCCCATTTTATTTTCCCCTTTATATTGAGTCAATGTTCTCATCACTGTTTGCTAAAGAATCTTTTCCGCATTGATTTGTAGAACTCCTTTTATCATATACATGAGTTCATTTTTTAATTTTCTACTCTGTTCCATTGGTTTGTTTGTTCCTGTATTTATTGTCATAGATTTGTAATGCATTCTAGTGTTTGGTTCAGCAGGTCTCTCCTTTGCCCTTCTTTTTAAGGTTGACTTAGTAGACTATTAGTGGACCTTTTTTTTTGCCATACAATTTTAGAGATTTTAACAAGTTCTTGAAATATTCCGACTGAAATTTAGATTGGGAATGCATTAAAGTATAATTTAATCTGGGGAATATGGATACCTTTATAATTTCAAATTATTCCAACAAAAGCCTTGAATGCCTCTCCATTTATTCAGATCATTTTTTATGTCCTTTATTAGAATTCCATAGTTTTCTACATGAAGGTCTTCTATATTCTTGGTTAACTTAATACCTTGATACTCTATCACTTTTATTGCTATTGTGAAGGGTATATCTTTTATTATTTAAAATTATGTTTTTCTAGTTATTTTTGTTGCAGTAGAGAAATGCTATTGATATTTATAAGTTCTGATAATTAGAAACCTTGAATTATTTTATTAGATTTGTTGGAGAATGTCTTTGATTATCATTTTGATTGTTTTCGTACTTATTGGTCTATTCAAATTGTATATTTCTTTTTGCCTGCTTTTGATATTTTACATTTTTTTCTAAGAATTTAACCATTTCATCAAGTATTTCCCATTTACTAAGGTATAGTTATTCAAACTCTTTTCCTTTTCCTTCTTCCTTTATTTCAGTTTTGAAAGGGATTTTATATTCCCCTTCCACTTTTACCCTAGGGACATCGCCAGCCCAGAACCACTTTTATTTTTCTTTGGAGGGTCCCTGACTACGCAATGAGTGTAAATTAGTATTCCAAACCAGCATCGGGGTAGACTCTTGGTTAAAATTCTCAGAGAAGCCTGGTCCTCCCCCACCTCCACCTTCCACCCAGAGCCCAAGCTTTATTGTCAGGTGGGAAAATTTTTTTCTAGTCACCTTTTTACCGAGTGTGTAGCAATTTGAAAACCCTGGCTCTTTTTCCGTGGAGTCTCAATTCCAAATACGCACTTCACATGAGCCTTGTCTTTTGTCCCTTTCTTGTTGTTATCCAAAGTCCTTTAATGACTAACACTGCAAATCACCTAGGACAGTGAAGTATCAGCTGACTTTCCATTCTTGTTTTTCAGTTTTCTATTTTTGGCCTGGATATTTCCCTTATTCTCTTGTAAAGAGCTAAGCTCTGCTTTTTAAAGGATATTTATTAAATTTTATTCAGCACTTCCAGGTTTTTTGTAGTGGGGAATTATTTAGGTCTGTGATATGTAGAGGTCATTTTGAGATAAATATATAGAAAGATCATTTGTAAATATATTAACCTGTATTTCAATATCAGTTTTCCTTTTGTTTGATGTTTCTAGTCAATGGTCTATTATGGACATAAATAATATATGACTAAGGATAAAATCAATTTAAAACTGTTTAAAAGTTAAAACTACCACTGTGCTATGGGTATTCAACTAAATGATAAACTGAGTGACTGAATCACGTAGACTTTCTTGAATTCCTCAGTAACTGTTGTGAAGACTCTTTTAATATACTCTCGGAGACTGATGTTATAGTTTAAAGGGAAGAAATAAAAAATTGTAATAAATGTCATTTTTGCTTTTCAAGTGACCTGGAGCACACTTGCAAAAACCCAGCAGTTTGATAACTACTGGTTGGGAAATCTTTTCCTACAGTCCAAAAATAAAAATGCTACAGTTGGTGTAATCTGGCTTTTACCTACCTTTTCAGCTTCGTCTCTCACTACTTAGCAGAAGTGCACTTGACAATCATGACTTTCTAATCTCTGTGATGTTCCCACTTGCCTGAAATTCTCTTTCTCTACCTAAAAACCTTCTGCTGATTCTCCGAACTCCAATACAAATGGCAGCTTCTTGAGTTATTTTTCCTTCTCAAGCAGTAAGTGACTGTATTCTGCATTCCCTGGCACTTATATTTCTGTTACAGCATTTACCTCACAGTATTGCAATTTATCTGTTTAGAGATACATTTTTCCTATTAGTATAAGTTCCTAGAATACAGGGATCATGCTTATCTCTGTAGTTCTGGCACCTCACAAAATACCAAAAACTTTGTACTCAATATATGATTCATGAATAGAAGAATGGGGCGGTACTTGTTCCTATGGATATAGATGCCAATTGTATTGATATTTGTGTCTATACGATGAAATACACTGTCAATAAATTCTCTAATTTAGAACATTACCTATTTTTTTCTCTTTTTGTGCCTCTCTAGACTTCAAAGCAACATCGATTGAAAAAGATCCAGAAATTCACAGGTCAGGAAGATCCTATGTTTTATTTTCAGCTGAAGGGTAATGACAGACCAACTGTGGGTTGCTTTAAGACTCTATCCTTTGGCCCTGGCTGGTATGGCTCAGTGGATTGAGTGCCAGCCTGCCGACTGAAAGGTTGCTGGTTTAGTTTCCAGCCAGGGTATGTGCCTGGATTGTTGGCTCTCACACATAGATGTTTCCATGCTTCCTTTCCTTATCTTATTTTGTGTAAAGCTCAAAATATCAGGAAATAAACTTGGTGAAATTGGAGAATGGAGAAGAGGTAACTACCAAGAGTTTGATGCGGAAAGTTTCAGTACCTTTTTTTTCTACCATAGCCACCAGATAGCCTCCTTTGGAGGAAAAAAATATGTATTATGACCTCTGTTTTCCCCTCTCCAACTCCCTGCTACTGTGATTATTCCTGCTCTTTCTAATCACTTATATCTATGCGACATGGTGAAGGCAGCATAGTATAGTTTAAAACACAAACGTGAGACGTAGGTTAAATCTGAGCTTTACCACTAATTAGCTTTATGATCTTGGACATGGCTTCATATTTGTTTCCTTATTTGAAAAATAGGGTTTGGACTAGGTGATGTCCATAATCATGATACTAATAGATTCTTCACCTCTGCTCCCAGCTCAACGGTGGGAAGAAAATCTCAGGATGGGTTGCATTAAAACTAACCTGACATCGTGAGTAAAATCAATCTGCACTGTTGTCTATTTTTTCTCTTCTTAGCCTATTCTACTGATAAACTGTAAAAAGTTAGGAGTAAGATACCTGGGACTCTGTTTTACTTCCCACATTATCATAGCTGTTTCTTTCTGAGTTAAATCTCTCTTCTTATTGGTTTCCTTATCAGTACTTTTAGTATCGCTTCAGTTACACTGACATATTCTTTTTCATCTAGCTTTTCAGAGCTCCCTAGGGGATGGACCCAAGAATGTATACTTTGTCTTCAACAGATCTTCCAACATCTGGAAAATGCAAGGTCAGGAAATGTAGTTTCTGAGTGGGAATTGAAGGTGGTAGAGCTTTTGAGGGAGGAGGCAGGGAGTGAAGGAAAGAGGAAGGAATATGAGGAAGGAGGGAGGCAGAGGGAAAAGAGCATTAGTTAGTTAGTTAAATTTGGCAGTAGAGGAAGGTGTAGGTTGAAAGGAAGTTTAAGAACCACTGGTTTATTGATCATTTTTTTTTATTAGAATGGGATAAATGCCTTCCTTTGTCCTGATGGAGGAATTCTTTCCATAATTAATTGATGTTGGCTAAAGCAACTTGCTCTTCTCCCTCAGCCCAAAATATTTTACATTTGAAATGGCTATTATTTTTTCCATTTTTCTACTTCTGCTACCTTTTCCCTTTTTCAAAGCAAAATGAAACTTTTCTCTTTATTCCTTAGATCAGCTCTTATGGAATCATGTTTGCTGGAACCACAGTACACGATTTCTTCCTCTACTTCCTCTGATTTTGTGGATCAGGAGCCTATTCTACCCTCTTGTGACTGTAAGACAGCAAAATATTCTACTACGCACACCACTTCCTCTGGATCATCAAGCAACAACTTCAGTTTGTCTCACTTTCCTGTCTTTTCTGAAGGAACAACCTGGAAATTCTGGAGCCATAGTTTACCTATTTTATCTAAAAAGCAACCATCTGTGTTCAAGAACCAAGGCATATCCCTGCCTCCTTTGCAGCTCTCAGAGCTTGGGAAATCAAAACTCCTTCAGAATTTGGCAACTCTTTCAGCCTTAAGACCTCAAAGCTCTTTCACCAACTCTACTTTCTGCAAACAAGTGAAAACAAAAGATGGGAGAAGGAGCAAGAACCATCTGACTTCAGATCATTGGCCAAATTCTATTTTTAAGGGCAGACCACGATTCCCAGATCAGGCTCCAATCCAGATCCCTCCTTTGACTAGGTGGGAGTTAGAGGGACATATGGCTTGGAAGGTTTGTACTTTGCAGAAACATGCAGTACCTCTGCCTGTGAGGGAATCATGGGCAAGGTTAAATTATTTAATTGAGGTACAAGGAAACATCCCTGAACTAGAGAGATCCCAAATCCAGTTATCTATTCCCATTCATCAAAATACTGAGCAAAATATCAACAATGAATCCCCAGACCTTCCATCATTTCAGCGCCATGTGAACATTGGGGTGGAACCTGAATTAAATAGAACAGAAACAAAAATTTCACAATCACTTATCCCAGGTAAGCAGTCACAACCTAGGAGTGGCCCTCAAATCCTTGGATCCAAGCTGTTAGTTACATCAATGGGCACTCCACCTCCCAAAAGTTTAGGAGTTGACATAATCCAAAAAGAAACCACCTTACTGGAGAAGGATCCAAAACATGAGTCAGAGCTTAAGATAAAGCAGAGGGTAATAGGTCTTCCAGAAAAAAGCAAACAGAAGCATGAGACCCACGTGACTAGTGTGGAGTTGACTCCAAGGCTACCATATCAAGTCACAGATAGCATAAAGGTAACTCCATTGGCATTACTTCAAGCCATGGATTCAATGGGGATGATCCCAGAATCACATTCAGAAGTGACAGAATTTGTGGGTTTGTTTCCGCAGCCAAATGAAGCTGTGAAACCAATGGAAACAGTGAGTGTAAGCTCAAAACCAACATATCAAGTCATTGAATCAGTGGAGGTAACCTCAAGGCCCCAGCACCAAGTTACAGAATCAAAGAAGATTATCTCAAAACCACTGAATCAAGTTACAGATAATGTAAAGGTAACTCCTGTAGCATTGCTTCAAGTCATGAATTCTATGGGGATGATTAAAAAATCACATCCACACATCCCAGAATCAATGGGAATGACCCCAAGGTCACAATATCAAGTCAAGGAGCCAGTGAAGATGAGCACATTGTTGGACCATCAAATCATACAACCAGAAAAAATGAGTCTGAGGCCACAGCATGCAGTCACAGAAACTGTGGAAATGACTCCAGGTCCACAACATAAAGTTATTGAATCAGTGGCTTCAAAGCTGCAAAATCAAGTCACGGAACCACTTAAAATTATTCCAGGGTCTATGTGTCAAAACACAAAATCATTGAATATGATGCCTAGATCATTGCATCAAGTCATGGATATCATGAAAGTAACTCCAGAGGCACTATTACAAGCTATGGATTTCATGGGAATAATTCCACCAGCACAGCCAGATGGTATAGAATCTGGGAGTTTAACCGCAGATTCACAGACTCATATTTCGAATTTGACCCCAAGGGCAACTCAACCAAATGATTTGACATCTTCTGATTTTCCTACTACTGTTGGTCCACCTGGGATTAGAAAGGCTAAGGATGTGCCTACAAAGCCACTACCTAAAGTCATGGAATCAATAGGGATGCCATCACATCAATCCGTACATTCTCTAAAGGTAACCCCAATAACACTGGGGTCATCCAATGGAATGATCACAGAACCTCAGTCCCAAGTTGTAGAAACTCAGGATTTGACCCCAAGGCCGATATCTCAAGTCAAGAAATCCTTGGAGTTGACTCCTAGGCCATGGATTCAAGTGCTAGACCCTCTGGGGATGACTGGACAACCATATCATCAAAGTACAGAATCTATGGCATTAACCCCTGTGCCACCTCAAGACATGGAATCTTTAAGGTTGACTCCATGGCATCAAATCCCAGAATATTCAGAGATGAGCTTCAGGCAAAGTCATCAAGTTATAGAAACTGTGGGATTGACCTCTGACACATGCCTACAAATGAAGAATTCAGTAGAGTTGACACAGTCACATGATCAAATAATGGAATCCTTAGGGACAATCCCAAAGTCACTGGGTCAAGGTACAAAATCTATGGGAGTGAGCCAAAGACCACTGCATCAAGTTACAGAATCCTCAGTAATGACTACTACATTATTGCTTCAAGATGTGAAAAATATGGGGACAAAGCCAAAGCCACAACTTAAGGTTATGGATTCTATGAAGTTATCACCAGGATCGCCAAATGTAAAATCTGAGAAAGAGACCATGGGACCAGGGTTGAAAAGCATAAAATCTGTAGATATAACCACAGGTTCAGTCCCACAACTAGTAATATGTAGACAGCTGATCCCAACTGTGAACTCTACAGAATCAACCATAGAACTTCAACAGCAGAGTGTAAAATCTGATGAGTTGACCCCCATACCACAGCTGCGAAGTGGAGAATCTGTGCAGTCATACCTAGGACCTCAGCTTCAATGTGAGAGATCTATCAAGTTGAACCTAGGGCCACAAGAGCAAGGTAAAAAATATGCTGAGTTAGCCCCAGCACCACAGTTGCAAAGTAGGAAATCTATAGATTTGACCTCCAGTTCACAGTTGCAAGGTATGGAATGTGTTCATTTGAGCCTACCACCAGAGTTGCCAGGTACAAAAATTGTGGAGTTGACCCCAAGACCACAACAGGAACATACGCAATCTGTGGAGTGGGCCCCAAAGTCATGTTTACAAGATATAAGACCTGAGGAGATAGCCCAAGTACTATTGCTTAAAGATATAAAAACTCCTCAAGTGGTAGAATGTAGAAGGCTGATTCCTGAGAGACAGGTAGAAGGTATGAAATATGAGGAGCTGACCCCAAGCATACACATTCCAGCAGTAAAATCTGTACAATTGTTACCCAAACCAAATCATCAAGCCACAGAACTTGAAGAATTGACCCCATGGCATCAAGCTTCAGAATCTTTAGGGATGATTTCAGAGCCAGCACATCAAGAAACAGAACCAATGTTGATCTGTGACACTTGTTACCATGAGAAAGAATCTGTTGGGTTGACACCATCATCTTTAGGAAATACCCCAGGGCCATTGGGACATGCTTCAAAATCTAGGCAGATGAACTCAATGTCATTTCAAGGTACTCTTGACACAAATCTCCAAAGTGTAAAAGCCATGGGGGTGACTCCGGTTTCACAACATACAATACAACAATCTCTGAAGGTGGTACCAGGATCAGAGATGCAAGGTTTGAAATCAGAGGTGATGATCCCAGACTCCCAACATACTAAGTTTGTCCTGAATCTAGGACTACATTCAGAAGTTATGGACTATGAGGAGCTGATCTCAGAACCACAGTTTCAAAAATCTGTGCCATTGACCTCAGTATCACGGCACCAAAATATAAAACTTGAGTTAGTCCCACTAGTGGTAGGATCTAAAGAGTTTATTACAGGACAAAAACCACATGTAATGGTGTTGTCTCCAAAGCCGCAGCCCAAGGAAGTAATGTACAGGCAGTTGGATCCAGAGCCACAATTACAGGATGTGAAATATGTTAATTTAGTCCAACAGTCAACTACTACCAGAGTGCCAGAATCTGAGAAGCTGATACAAGAGCCAGTGCTACAAAGCATGGTTTCAGAGGACTTGACTGTAGGGCCACAGTCACAAAGTGTCAGATTTTCAAAGTTATCACCAGGGCCACTTCTTCAAGGAGAAAAATTTGTAGATTTAATTGCAGGGCCCCCACACCATGTTATAAAATTTGATGAATTGACCCCAGCTTTCCCAGTGCAAGAAACCAAACTGTCAGATTTCCCCCTACAGCCAAAGCATCAAAGTGTTACATCTGTACAGTCAACTTCTGAACTGCAACCTCAAGGTATGAAATTTGTGGAACGAAACTCAGAACTATGCTTGGAAGATGTTAAACTTTCTGATTTAGACCCGGAATCAAAGCACAAAGGTTTCAAACCTGTGCAGTTTATACCAGGAACACAGATTCAAGATATAAAGTCTGTAGGGTTTGTAGCAGAATCAACTTTGCAGTTAAGCAAAGGGCTCCCAGGTGAAAATATGAAATCTGTTTTGTCTATTGAAGGATCACAATTTCACAGCATGAAATCTGTGAAATTGACCTCAGAAATACAATATCAAGGTGCGAAATCTGAGGAACTGAAAGCAGGGCCAAGGCAGCAAGATGTCGAATTTTCTGAATTGACTTCAGGGCCAAAGCTTCACAGTGTCACATTTGTGGAACAAACCCCAGGATCACTGTTTCATGGTATGAATTCTGTGGAGATGATTTCAGAGTTAGGGCTTCAAGATTCTAAATTAGCAAAAATGTCTCAAGGGTTTCAACTTACAAAAGAGGTCGGGCTTAACCCAGAGCCATGGCTAGAAGATGTGAAATTTTGTGATCTGGCATCAGGAACTCAATCTCAAAGTGTGATATCTTCAGAGTTAAAATCAGGGCCACAACTACAATGTGCAAAATTATTTGAGTTGACTCCAGAGCCAAAGAAGCAAAGAGGAAGATCTATGGAGTTGACCCCAGGACGTGAACAACAAGGGGTTAAGCCTGAGATGTTAGTTAAAGAGCCACTGTTTCAAGGTGTAAAATGTGTAGAGGTAGGTCAAATGTTAAGCTTTGACAGTGACATTTCACATAAATTAGTCTTGGAGACACAGATTGCAGATGCAAAATTGATGGAGTTGACTCCTGAGCAAGAGTTGCCTAGTGTAAACTTTTCTGAGTTGACCAGAAGACCACAGTTACAAGGTATGAAATCTCTTGAATTGACCCAAGGACCACAATTAGAAGATGTAAAACCTGTGGAGTGGACCCCAATCTCAGCATTTCAAGGTTTAAAATCTGAGGCAGCAATCCCAGGGCCACAGCTGGAAGATGTGAAATCTGTGGATTTAACCCCATGGTCACATTTGGGAGGTGCGAAATCTATGGTAGTAACCCCTGGGCCACAGGTAGGAGGTACGCAACAAGTGGGGTTGACTCCAGGCTCAAAACGTCAAGGTTTGAAGTCTGGATTGTTGATCTCAGAATCAGAGCTGAAAGATGTGAAAACTGTGATCTTAAGTGCAGAACAATGCCTAAGATGCCCAAGTCCTCAGTTGGAAGCCGAGAAATCTGTGGAGATTAATTTAGGGCCACAGATAGATGTCAAATCTGTGAAAACCATCCCAGATTCCAAGCCTCAAGGTGTGAAGTCTGTTCAGTTGTCTCCACATTCAAGAGTTGAAGAATTCAGAACTGTAGAGTTGGCCCCCAGGGCACAAATGCAAGATGTGAAAGCTGAGGAATTAAAACTCGGGCCAAAGATGCAAGGGGAGAATTCTGTGCCTTCTGCACCAGAGCCATTGCTCCAAGGGCCTCAGTTGCAAGGTATGAAACCTGAGGAATTGACTTTAGAGCCACAAATGCAAGACATGAAATTTGTGGAGATTACCCCATGTTTAAAGCTTCAAAGTTTAAACTTGTTAGAGGAGACTCCAGATCCACTGCAATATGTAAAACCTGTGAAGTTGATCCCAAGGCTAAAGAAGCAGGCAGAAAAACACATGAATGTAATCAGAATACAAGAGTTTCAAGGAGTAAAATCTGTGGATTTAGCTCAAAAGCAAGAGTTTCAAGGGATGGCACTTGTGAATTTAACTCCTAGGCCAGAACAGAATGGAGAGGTATCTGTAATCTTACCAGAGCAGCAATGTATGAATTCAGAGCAATTGAAGAGAGGGTCTAAGTCAGAAGATGGGATGTCTTTGGAGTTAATTCCAGAGCTAAAATTTAAAGATAGAAAATCAGTAGACCTCAACTTTGAGTTACAGTTGAATGATATGAAATCATTTGAATTGACTCCAGAATCAGATATTCAAGGTGTAAAATCTAAAGAGTTTAAACCTGAACCACAGTTGCAAAGCATAAAATCTCCCAAATTGACCCTAGGGCCACAGTTGCACCAAGTAAAACCCTTAGTGTCAATTTCAGAGCCACAGCTTCAAGGGGCAAAAACTGTTGATCTGAAACAAGAGCCACAGCTTGGAAGTATGAAATGTATTCAGTGGATACCAGGACCTGAGTTCCAAGGTGTGAAATCTGTAGGATTAAAACTTGGGTCACGATCTCAACGTGTCAAAGCTGCACAGTTGAGATCGTTGTTATATTCAAGAGATGTGAAGTCATCTAAATTGACTCTAGAGCCAAAAACTCAAGGTACAACATATATGGAGTTCAATCATGGGCCACAGTTGCGGAGTGTGAAAGCCTCTGAGTTGCCCCCAAGACAACTGCAAAAAGGGAAATTTTTGGCATCAACATTAGAGCCACAGCTTCAAGGCACAAAAAGGGTGGAGTTAAACCAAGAGCCACAGTTTGGAAATACGAAATCTGTTCAGTGGATACCTGCACTAGAGTTCCAATGTATGAAATCTCTGCTAAATCTTGGGTTACAATCTCAATGTGTCAAACCAGCAGAGTTGAAACCTTTGATACAGTTAAGAAATACAACATCATCCAAGTTGACTCCAAAGCCAGAGCTCCAAGGTATACAATTTTTAGCATCACCCCAGGAACATCAGCCTGAAGGTTTTGATTTGAAACCTCATCTACAGTTTAGAAGTATGAAATCATGTGACCTGACTTCAAGGTCAAAGCCTTGTGATGTAAAACCTATGATGTTCAAATCTAGGCTTCACTTGCATGACAGGAAATCTAAATTGACCGCAGGACTTCAGCTTCAAAAAGTGAAACCCTTACAGTCATCCCCAGGAACACAGCTTCAAGGTGTAAAGTCTCTGGTGCTTACACAAGAACCACAGCTTCCAGGTGTAAAATCTGGGGTATTAAGTCAAGGGTCACAATTACAAAGTGATAAAACTATAGAGTCGAGCTCCCCACTACACTTGAAAAGTATGAACTCATTTGAGTTCGCTCTTCAAACAAAGCTTCAAGATGTGAAATCTGAGGATTTCAACTCTGGGTCACAGTGGCAAGGTCTGAAATCTTCTAAGTTACCACCTGATATAAAGTCCCAAGATAAGAAATTTACTGAGTTAAATCCCAGCTCACAGTTGCAGGGTACAACATTTTCTAAATCTACTATAGGGACAAAGATTCAAGGTGTCAATTGTACAGATTTCAACTCTGGGTCATTGTTACAAGGTATGAAATCTTCTGAAGGGACTTCAAAGACAAAGCTTCAAGATATAAGAGACAAAAAATTCAGCTTCAGCCCCCAGTCGCAAGTTATGAAATCTTCTCAGCCAATACTGGGGACAAATCTTGAAAGAGTGAAATCAAGAGAATTCGAGTCAGACCCACAATTGCAAGGTATAAAAACGTCTAGGATGATCATGGATATAGAGCTTCAAGATGTAGAATCTATGAATTTCAGATCTGAACCACACTTGCAGAGTATGAAATCTTCTGAAGTGACCCCAAAGGAAAAGCTCCAAGGTGTGAAATCTGTAGAACGGAAACCTAGTCCAGAGTTACAAGATGAGAAATCAGGTTTGACCCTGGGGAGGAAGTTTCCAGGGGCAAAATCTGTAGAGATGGACTCAGGTCCAAAATTACAAGACATAAAATGTTCTGATTTGATCATGGGTATAAAGCTTCAAGATGTAAAATCTATGGGGTTCAACTCTAGACCACACTTTAAAGGTATGAAATCTTCTGAAGTGACCCCAGGGGCAAAATTTCAAGAAATGAAATCATTCTTCAATTCCAAACCACAGATACAAAGTAAAAAATCTCAGTTAATTCAAGCAACAAAGCTTCAAGTTTTGAACTCCTTAAGGTCTAACCATGGTTCAACGTTACAAGGTGGAAAATCTTCTGATTTAACTCAGAGGAAGAAGCTTCAGGATATGAAATCTATGGAGTTCAACCCTGGACAACAGAGACAAGATGAGAAATCTGATTTGACACTAGAATGGAAGCTTCAAGATTTGAAATCTGTTGAGTTAAAACCTGTTCCACATTTACAAGCTGTGACATCTGAGTTAATACCAGAGACAAAGCTTCAAAGTGAAGAATCTGTGGAGTTCATCACCAGGCCAATGTGTCAAGATACAAAGTCTTTTGAATCAACTCTACGCACAAAGGAACACCACGTTAAAACTTTGGGGTTTAGCTCAGCCCCACAAGATAGGAAATTGTCCATGTTGACACAAGGCACACACCTACCAAGTGTGAAATGTGTGGAATTCAACCTGGGGGCAAATTTGCAAGGTGCAGAATCTGAATTGATAAAGCTTCAAATAGAAACCTCTACAGAGATCAATGATGGTCCCAAATTTCAGGTTGCAAAACCCTCTGAGTTGGCCTTGGAATCAAAGGTTCACAATGTAGTATCTTCTGAGTTCAATGCTGGAAAGCAATGGCAAGGGATAAGATCTGAGCTGAGCACCACGATGAAGCTTCCAGATGAGCCATTTCTGGAATTCAAGCATGAACCTAAATTGCAAAGTGGGAAATCTTCTGAACTGAACCCAGGGCCACAGTGTCAATGTATAAATTTTATGGCATTCAACACTGGGCCCCAGTTGCAAGGTCTAGAATCTTCTGAGTTGGACCCTGGGCCAGGGCTTCAAGGTATAGAATCTAAGGTGTTCTGCTTTGAGCCATATTTGCAAAGTATGAATTCTTCCTCATGCACTTCAGAACCAAAACTTCAGCCTATAAATTCCACTGGATGCAACACTGTGCCACATTTGCAAGGTGTGAACCCTTCTGAATTAACTTTAGTTTCAAAACTTCAAGGTATGAAGCCTTCTGAACTGAATCCAGGGACAGAGATTCAAAGTGAGATATCAATGGTGTTCAACGCTGGACCACACTGGCAAGGTCTGAAATCTAAAATGACTCCAGAATCAAAGTTTCTAGGTGTAGCACCTATGGAATGCAACCCCAGGCCACAGATGCAGTGTGAAAATTCTTGTGTGTTGACTCCAGGGCCAAAAGTACAATGTGTAAATTCTACTGGATGCAACCGTGGGCCACTCTTGGAAGGTGTAAAATCTTTTGAGTTGACTTCGGGGACAAAATTTCAAGGTATAATGACAACAGAGTTCAACCCTGACTCAAAACTGCAAGGTATGAATTCTTCTGAATTAAATTCAGGGTCAGAACTTCTAGGGCCACAAATACAAGGCATGAAACCTTGTGAATTGAACCCTGAGCCAGAATCTCAAGGCACAAAGTCTATTTTGTTTAATCCTAGATCACATTTGCAAGGTGTAAAATCTTCTAAGTTAACTCCAGGGACAAAGTTTCCAGAAGTCCAAGTTTTGGAGAACCACCTTGGGTCACAGCAACAAGTTGGGCACTCTGTTTTGGGTCCTCAGTTAGATGGTGCAAAATCTGTGTTATTTTTACCAGAGCCGTTGCTTGAAGATGTAAAGTCTGTGACAATGAACAAAGAGTCATTGCTTTGTGGTGCGAATTTTGTGCAATGGATTCCAGACTCTGAGCTGCAGGACTTAAAATATGAGACGTTTGCACTGGAGTCATGTTTTACAAAAGTGAAATCTGTAGAGTTAAGTCCAGGGTCAAATATTGAATTGAAATCTGCAGAATTAACCTCACAGCCAACATCTCCATTTGAGGATCCCACAGTGTTAACTCATGAACAAGAGCTTCAGGCTGTGAAATCTATAGGGATAAAAACAAGGCCTCCTCAAGTTATGCAATCTGAGGATTTGAATCTAAGACAGGTATATCAGAATAGGGAATCTGAGGAGTTGACATCAGAAGAAGAGTTACAAATGGAGAATTATTCCTCTAGGTTTCCACACAACTCTTCAAACTCAGTCATCTCAAGCTCTGTCAAAACAACCTCTGAATTAGGAGGCCCTTGGGATTCTGAGATGACTAAAGTATCAAGAGTCTTGGATATAAAAAGCCTTTGGACAGATATTTTGCTGCCTGAAGGGTCCTTTATAGACCCTGCTTCAACCTTTCCCTTGTCCCTTCATAATCAACCCTCAGATAAGGCAGCTAATACTGTAGGAACCACCCATTCTGAGATCCCAGGAGTGAATGTCATATCTAAGGAGAGGATTCTGAAGGGACAGATGGCAGAGATAGAGAATTCACTCCAGGGCTTCTTCCCACATCCTCCACAAAGCTGGAGATCACCAGCTAGGACCTTCCAGACAGGATCAGGGCCTAGAAGAGACCTTACCTGGTCTGTCCTAGGAAGACAACAGAATGTCTGGGAGAGTCACTCCTGGAAGCAGAAACTACCTAGAAAATATCTCTCCAATATGCTAATGCTGGGGAATGTCTTGGGAACCACTATGGAAAGGAAGCTTTGTTCTCAAATATCTTTAACAGCAAGAGCCACTGCAGATACTCAATCTATTCAGAATTTATTTGGGGTTCCAGCTGAACTGATGGAATTTTCCCAGAGTCTGGTAGAGACAGGTCAAGGTACTGTTTCTCCGGCTTCAGTGGTCAAAAACTACATTCAGAGACATACTTCATGTCATGGTCATGAGAAAAGAATGGCCTTAAGGATGTGGACACGTGGTTCTATGTCCTCCATAATACAGCAATACTCTGGAACTAGAGTGAGAATAAAGAAAACAAACTTCAGTGATATATCTCAGGAAGTCATTCAGCACATTCCTGTTTCATATACAGGGGACCAGCTTCTTGACCCAGTAAAGTCAGAATCTTCCCTCAATATATTTTTCACTGTGAAAGACCCTGTTCCAGTGAAAGAGAGTGAGAACTTACAGAGTGATTCACAGACAAGGATTTTTGAGTCCCAATACCCCCTCAAGCCAAATTATCTTTCCCAGGACAAGGCTGACTTCTCAGAACAGCTCCAGTTGCTACAAGATCTGCAGCTAAAAATAGCAGCAAAACTGTTAAGAAGTCAAATACCCCACAATGTACCTCCTCCGCTAGCTTCAGGACTGGTCCTAAAATACCCTATCTGCCTACAGTGTGGTCGATGTTCAGGTTTTAATTGCTGTCATAAATTACAAGACACTTTGGGGTCTTATCTTATTATCTATCCACAGCTCCACCTTGTGAGCACTCCTGAAGGTCATGGAGAGATTAGATTGCATCTTGGCTTTAGGTTGCGAACTGGGAAAAGGTCCCAAGTCCCAAAGTATCATAGAAGAGACAGACCCATCACACCAAGGAATCCGACATCACTATCACCAAGGAAAGCTAAAATGTGTACTCGAGCTCCCAGGAGTCCTACTTCCACACTAGATTTCCTGTCTCAGTCTTCCCAGTCTCCTGCTCCTGTACAAGTCCACATTAGACAAAAGCAATGTGGCAGCCCTGACCTTATAGGAAAGACAGATGGTGGAGAGCCTGGGCACTATGAATTCACTGAAGTTCGTTCTTTACCAGAGAGTGACTCTAAAAGCGATCAGGATGAAAAATGGGCTGAAGTGAGCACAGAATACACCCATGATTCAAAATATCCAACAAAAAAAATAACCAAGGGAGTTAGAACACAAAACAAAAAGTTCTACATGAACAGTAGGACCTTAAAAAACAATCTTTCTAAGGAATTACCAGCCCAATTAAAAATGAAAAGGAATGGAGCACCTCGGACAACTACTGCCTCTTTTAAAAGACAACCTAAGAAATCCTCCCAACCCAAATTTATTCAAATGGTTTTTCAGGGACTAAGGAAGGCATTCCAAACAGCACACAGAATTATGGCATTTGTTGGACAGAAGCCTGAAGACAGAACAAGGGAAGGCCATTTGTGGTCAAGCAAAAACTACCAAACAAAACAAAAAGCCAGAGACTACTGCTTACTAAGAGATACCAAAAAAGAGAGGATGTCGGCTATGAAACTAAAGCCAACAGAGTCAGCCATTGAACAGAAGAGCATGCTGTGGGAAGGAACCGACCAATTCAGATCAGCTCAACAATCAAAAACAGATAGCTCTTTCCAACCCATACTTTTCCCACTGCCCAGATGTAGAGTTTCCCAAGGAAGTACCACTTCTGAAACCACCACAATCAGATATCCTTTGGATACCATTCGAAGTGACAGTGGCAGCAGACTTAAGAAAAACTTCTACAGAAAAGAAATCTCTAGCCCAGAGTCCAAGAACTCCAGAACAAGTATCAGAGTTTGGGCCCAAGGGAGAATCCTACATGATACCACTGTGAAGAGAACCTCACACAGTCACCTTAAAGAGAAACTCACACATAACAAACCAAACCACTACAGCTTCCCTAAGGAAAGAACCCCATGTAATTTCTCCCAGAGAAGCCATCACGGTTCCTCTCAGAGAAGCCGTCACAGTCCCTCTCAGAGGAGCCATCACAGTCCGTCTGAAAGGAGCCATCGCAGTCCCTCTCAGAGAAGCCGTCGCAGTCCCTCTCAGAGTAGCCACCGCAGTCATTCTCAGAGGAGTCATCGCAGTTCATCTGAGAGGAGCCATCGCAGTCCCTCTCAGAGGAGCCGTCGCAGACCATCTCAGAGAAGCCGTCGCAGTCCCTCTCAGAGTAGCCACCGCAGTCCTTCTCAGAGGAGTCATTGCAGTTCATCTGAGAGGAGCCATCGCAGTCCCTCTCAGAGGAGCCATCGCAGTCCATCTCAGAGAAGCCATCTCAGTACATCTGAGAGGAGCTGTCACAGTCCCTTTCAGAGGATCCATCGCAGTCCCTCTCAGAGGAGGGGTCACAGACTGTCTGAGAGGAGATGTCGCAGTCCCTCTGAGAGGAGATGTCGCAGATTGTCTGAGAGGAGATGTCGCAGTCCCTCTGAGAGGAGATGTTGCAGATCGTCTGAGAGGAGATGTCGGAGACCATCTGAGAGGAGATGTCGCAGTTCCTCTAAGAGGAGAGGATACAGTCTTCCTGAGAGCAGACAGCCCAGGCCCTGTGAGAAGAGCCATGGCAGTCCATCTAAAAGGAGAGGGCATAGTCATTCTGAGAGTCGCAGACACAGTCACTCTAATAGGAACCAACACAGTCCATCTCAGAAAACCCATGGAAGTCCCTCTGAGAGAACTCATCACAGCGTCCCTAATGAGAGGCCCAGACATAATTTGTCTAAAGGTTTCAAGTGTCACTCAAATACATCTCCTAGGGACCACACAAAAAACCCCAAAGCAGGGCAAGTTTGGAGTCTCGAAACCAGTAGATGAGATTTCCGCCCCCATTATTCATTTATTCGCTCGCTCAAGTCTTCACCAAGCTTGCCATTCCTGGCTTCTTTCCTGCTCAGCCACTGGCTCCAATTCTTGCATCCTCAGCAATGAAAGAGCTTATGTCTCTCCACCTGGGGGCTGGGACAGCGGGAGTGGGCTGCAATTTCTCTAAGATAAATAAAGGGGCAACAACTGATTTCCTTGTGCACCTAGAAAGACCATTCGTCGTGCTGGGTGGAGAAAGGAGGGCGGAGGGACAGTAAAGGCGGGGGTCTGGACGTCAGATTAAGGCTCCACCCCCAGTTTGCAGACCTTGGGTCCCACAACCTAATCGGGGCGCGGGGTCTCAGAGGAATCGGAGGGTGGCTCGTCACGTGACCCACTCCGCCTGCAGCCCCCTCCAAAGCCGCTAGGCGGAAGTAGACGTTCAGAACGGGGTTGGGCGGCACGGACTCCACATCCGGGAGAGGAGAGGAGAGCGGAAGTGGCGTTGGTCTGGCCGGAGCCCTTGGGTGAATTTGTTAGGCGTGGAGAGGGAGTGATGTCTTCCAGACTCGGTGCAGTACCCGCCGTGAGTTTCTCGGTTTGACCGTTATGCTTCAGAGGTAGCGCTGTCGAGCCTGCAACACGCGGTCCTCGCTTTTGTCCCAAGCTCACAATTGGTTTTATCAGAGCCCATCGTAGGCCCCACCCTTCTAGGTCAGATCTACCTGTCCCCCTCTTTTCCCCTCACTTTTCGCTGTCTGTTCCCCACCTCCTTGGACTCAGTTCGTCGCTAGATTGCCATTAATTTCTATTCTTTTTATATATACAGGGCCTCCCATATCCGTTGTCCTCTTCTTTTCTCCTCCCTTTGGAGCCTCTATCCAGACAGGGCTTTAAGAATGGGGGAGATGAAGGCTCTGCTGTTGTCACCTTCCGTGACTCTGTAGGAAGATAGGACCACACACTTTTCCTTAGAAGGTCCTGCCTCCTTCCAGTTTGAGGTGGTTGCCCCGGGAGAGCTTTATTTCTTCTGGGCACAGGGGGATTGTCTCTTTGTGGTCAAGGTTCAGAGGTCTCTAGCATTCACTCATGTGCTTGCGTTTGCTAGACTCCGGGACCCACATCCTTTAAGCAGCAGAGGAGCGCGAGGATCGTGGGAGCTAAGAAGTAAGTGAGGTTTTCTGAGGTCCATTTTTATAACTTGTGTCGCCAGCGCTGTCCATTCGAAGTATCTGTGATGATAAAAATTTTCTGTTTCCGCACTGTCCAATACTGTCGCTACTAGCCACTTATGGCTTTTGAGCCCTTGAAATGTGGCTAGTATGAGAAACTGACTTTTAAATTGTATTTAATTTTAATTCACTTAAATTTAAATAGCCACCTGTAGCTAACGTCTACCTTACTGGACAGTACGGGGCTAAACCTAGAGGAAAAACTTAGCTTGAAAAAAAAAAAGAGAAGAAGAAAAGTATGAATTATAATAAAAATGGAATGTATGACTCGGTGTAGCTTTGCATTTATGTACTCATGGATGCATTGATGAACATGGAAAGGACTGATAAAAATGACCATAAGAAATCCTTGTATTTTCAAACTACTTGGCTTCCAGACTTGTGTATTATTTTGTATATTGAATGTGCTAAGCTTTTCCATGCTTGTTAAGACAAAAAAGATTGTTGTTAACTAGGTACTCATGGGAAGGGATTAATTTATTCAGATAACATTTACTAAATATCTGCTGTGTTCCACCTGTGTAGTAGCTTAGATATACAGACATGAAAAACACAGAACTAGCAGTCTAAATGGGGGAGATGGACAAGCAGATCAACACAATACAGTGTAATTCAATATTTTTAAACAGGAATTTAATATAGCCTTTGGGAAAAGGGAGTGACAGTTTAGAAGGGAAGGGTTGCCAGAGTGAGACTTGAAAGCTAAGGAATAATGCAGTTAGCCAAAAGGGAAAAACTTTTTTCAGAAGAGAGAACAGGAGGTGAACAGGTAAATAATTTAATGAGATACCAAGTGAGTAGTTGTTAAAAAATATAAAGGTTCATCGGCCCTCATTTATTAATCTAAATCAGAATCATTGGGGTTAGGGCATTGGTATTTGTATTTTTAACTGGCTCCCTAGGAGATTGTGAAATCTGAGAACCATTGGTGAGAATTGAGACTGGAAGTGAGTGGAGGATGAAACCATGGAGAACATCAGCATTTAAGGATTGGGTAGAATAAAAGTTTGCAAATGATACTGAGATGAACTAAAATACTTTGCTGGTGAAATCTAAATATTTATGCCTAGAGAATGAACTAGGGGTTCTTAAAAATTCTTGCTATGTCAGAAAGCAGCTGGAAATAAGGTTAAACTTTTCATCTTTGCCATCAGAAGCAGAGATTGAAAAGTAGTGGCACAGACAATGAATTATAAAGTCACTATAATTATTATAGTCATTGTTTGAACCAAAAGCTTTTTTTTTTTTTTTTTTGGTCATATTTATGGAAAGGGAAGTTTGAGGTTAATCTGGTTCTTAAATAATGAAATGCTCTGATTTAATAGGTAGTATAAGTATAAAATACTTAAGAAATGTTTTTGTTGGGTCCTTTAAAAATAAAAGACAGAGACCTGGAGGGATTTCCAAACCATGTTGACTTAATACCCAAGATATTAATCATGCTGATCATATAAACTATTGATTTTTTTTTTTACTATGCTCCTGCTTATTCACGAGAGGGGGTATGGCTCTATCGGAGCCCTACACTGACAGTTAAGAAATTTCTATGAGGACAATTTCCTGAGAGGAGTCACATGGGACTTGACTCTTAATGGCCTGTGGATACTATCAAGTCTTTCTAAGTAAAGATTGTTCCGACTGTTTGGGATGTTAGGTTTTGGCCCTAGAGGATGGCCAATTCCCATGTAAAAAAATTTTTAATACTTTTATTGAGGTGTAAGTGAAGTACAAAAGATGGTATTTAAAGTATGCAGTATTATCAGCTTTGACATATGGTAGTACCTGTGAAACTGTCAACACAATCAAGATAATATTTCAATCTCTCAAAGGTTTTTTCATGTCCCTTTGTGATCTGTTCTTCCTTCAACTGTCCTCAGAGACCACTGACCTGTTTTTATGTCACTGTACAGTGGTTTGCATAGTCTAGGATTTGAAATAAATGAAATTATGTAGTATGTTGTCTTTTTGCATGATTTCTTTCACTCAGAATAATGATTTTGAGTGAAATTGTTTTTTTTACTGAATAAAATTTCATTATGGATATATCATAATTTGTCTAGCCACTACCTTGATGAATATTTGGGTTATTTTCAAGTTGGGGGTATTACAATAAAGCTGCTATGAACATTCATGTACTACAAGTCTCTCTGTGGAGAAATATTTTTATTTTGCTTGAAAAATATTCAAGATGGTATTTATTTACTAAGATGGAATTTAGCATTTAAGATGGTTGGGTCATATGTCAGGAGTGTGTTTATAAGACATTGCTTGTTTTCCAAAATGGTGGTGGTATTTTATGTTCCTGTCAGTAGTGTATAAGAGTAAGTCTTTAATTTTAACTAATTTAAAGGGTGTGTAGTGGTGTTTTGGGGGTTTTTCTAAAATAATTTTTTATTCTGTGTATTTTTAGTTTCAGGTATATAACATAGTGCTTAAACATTTATATAATTTATGAAGTCATAACCCTGATAAATCTAGTACCCATCTGACACCATACCTAGTACTACAATATCATTGACTGTATTCCCTATGCTGTACTTTACATTCCCATGACTATTTTTTAACTAAACATTTGTAGCTCTTAATCCTTTCTCCTTTTTCACCATCTTCCCAACCCCCTCCCATCTGGCAACCATCAAAATATGTTCTGTATCTATGAGTTCTCTTGTTTATTTTGTTTTTTAGATTCCATATATAAGTGAAATCATATGGTATTTGTCTTGCTCTGTCTGACTTATGTCACTTAGCATAATTTCTAGGTCCATTCATGTTGTTGGGGATGGCAAGATTTCTTTCTTTTTTTAAATTGCTTTTAGAGTGAGAGGAAGAGAAAGAAAGGGAGGGAGGGAGAGATAGAGAGGGTGGGGGTTTGTCGTTCCACTTATTAGCACATTCATTGGTTGATTCTTATATGTGCCCTGACTAGGGATCAGGGATTGAACGTTCAACCTCGGCGTATCAAGACGATGCTCTAGACAACTGAGCTACCTGGCCAGGACTGAATTGTAGCATTAAAAAAAATACACACACACGCGCGTGCGTGCACACACACACACACATATATATACTGAATACAATCCCTTCGTCTGATATATGTTTCCTTTTTTATTTTTAAACCCTCATCTGAGGATATGTTTACAAGGAGGAAGGGAGAGAGCGAGAGGGGGGAAAAAATCCATGCAAGAGAGAAACAATGATTGGTTGCCTCCTGTAGGCTTCCTATCTGGGGATCAAACCCGAAACCTTGTGATGTACTGGACAACGCTCCAACCAACTGAGCAATCTGGCCAGGGCTGATACATGTTTCCTGAATACTACCTTCCAGTTCATAATTTGCATTTCATTTGCTTCATTGTGTCTTTTGAAGAGCAAAGGTTTTAAACTTTAAACTTTAAAGGTTTTAAAAATGATAAAAATGTTATTTTTTCTTTGTTTCATGCTTTTTGTATTCTATTTAAGAAAACTTTGCCATTCCTAAATGATTTTCTACTGTTTTCCTCTAGAAGTGTTACAGCTTTTCCGTTTAGGCCTGTGACTCATTTAGAGTTACTTTTTTTTAAAAAAAGATTTTATTTATTTATTTTTAGAGAGAGAGGAAGGGAGAAACAGAGGGAAACATCAATGTGTGGTTGCCTCTCGTGCTCCCCCTACTGGGGACCTGGCCCGCAACCCAGGCATGTGCCCTGACTTGGAATCAAAGCAGTGACCCTTTGGTTTGCAGGCCAGCACTCAATACACTGAGCCACACCAGCCAGGGCTAATTTTTTTTTTAATCTTCAACTGAGGATAAAGTTAATTTTTGTGTGTGGTGTGTCTTAAGGGTCAGTGTTAATTTCATTTGTATATCCAATTGACTTCTTTTCCCTATTCTGTTGATTTTTGACAAAGGTCAAAACTTGTGTGTGTGTGTGTGTGTGTGTGTGTGTGTGTGTGTGTGTGTTTCTGAACTCTCCTTACTCTGTTCCATTGATGCATATAATGCATATATCAGTCTTTTTGCCAAAATGAAAGTGTCTTGATACTGTAGCATTAGAATAAGTCTTAAAATTAGATAGGGTAAGTCATCTAACTTTGCTGTTCCTTTTCAAAATTGTCTTGGCTATTTTAGATTATATGAATTGTAGAATCAGTCAACATCTAAAAAACATGCTGTAGTATTGATTGGTATTACTTTGAACGTGTAGGTCAATTTGAGGAGAACTGCCATTTTAACAAAATTGAGTTTTCTGATTTATGAGCATGCTATATTTTCCCATTTATTTAGATCTTTAATGTCTCTCACCAGCGTATTGTAGTTTTCATTGTAAAAGTCTTGAATATTTTTTGTTAGAATTGTTCTTAGGTATTTTACGTGTTTTTTTTTGTTGGTTTGTTATTGTAATTGTATTATTTTTATAAATTCATTTGTTAGTTGCTTGTTGATATTATCTAAGAATACAATTAATTTTTGTGTGTTAACCTTGTATCCTACCACTTGCTAAATTTATTTTTAGTTCTAGTGATTGTTTTGTATAGTGCCTGGAATTTTCTTTGTAATCAAACATCTCATCTACAAGTAAGGGACAGTTTTACTTTTCTTTTTTTGATCCTCATACCGCCCCCCCACCCTTTATAAAAGCCTTATTGCAATGGCATTTAACCATGGCACCTTCTGGGCCTGGAGTTTTCTTTTTGAGAGGTTTTGATAACAAATTCAATTTCTTTAATAGATATAGAGCTTTTCAGATTTTCTCTTTCTTATGTCAGTTTTGGTAAGTTATGGTTTTCAAGAAATTTGTTCTTCTTGTCAATTTATTGGCATAAATTTTTCAAATTACTATCTTATTGTTTTAATGTCTGTATGAGCTGTGCTAATGACCCCTCTTTCATTCCTGACATTTGTTTTTATGGTATCTTTTCTTTTTTTATCAGTTTAGCTATAGGGTTGTCAATTTT